AATTAACATCTTCAAAAATATGAATGTAATAAAAACTGCATAATTGCCCCATCAAAACTAAAAAAGTAGTAAAAAAGTAGCATCCTAGATACATGTCACGACTGGGCAAACGCCGCAGAGAGTTTTTGGCCTAAAAAGTGTTTAATGCGCTGATCCCAACGTAGGATCACCTCAACTGGGGAACTTCTCAGATGTACAGGTTTTCCTTCACCGCCGAGAACGATACTTCAAATTGCAATTAAAATATATGCTAAAATATATCATACGTTCTATATAATGCTTATGTTCTATGAAATTTACGTTTAGATCAGTTTGATTACCGCCTAAGAAAAGTAAACTAAAAAAAATATTTGTTTACATAAGTAAAATCTGCTATCTTTGATTATTAAAGTATTGGTTCACAATAGCCTGTTCATTTACATATACTCATACGAGCTAAGAAACCAGGACTGTCACAAACTGTCACAAAAATCTTAATTTGTCTGAAAATATGAAAGCTACCTTAAATGAAAAACTGTATAAGTCTCATTAAAGGTAAAAAAGTATAGCAGCAGCTTACATACGTCTGACTACTGCGCACAGGGCTCCTCATTACCTATAGTGTTTTGTGGGCAGAAAGGAGTAGGTATGCCGCAATGCTTTAATTCGTATTAACGATTTTCCCATTTCACTAGGCCCATTTCCCATTACATTAGGCTCCCAACGAAGTTATTCTTCACCACTTCACCGTACACGTCGGCGCGTAAAATTTCCTATTACAGATTTATTTTTCCTCAAAAGGATCGTACACATTTTGCTCCTATGCCATGATGAAATCCCACGGCGAGCTAAAATGTATACGATCACACATCGGTACACGGCTCTTGTATTTGTTTAAATAAAATTCATAAAAACTGAAACAAATCTTTTGTACGATTGTTGACCACACCAACCTAGTGCCACAAACTATTCCATCAAATAGAGTTAAAAATCTCACAGCGCACTTAATTTTCATTTATTTACATCAAATAACTTAAAAAGAAATGATTTTGGTGAAAGAAAAGCTATGGCGATATATTAATCAATAATAAATCGAATTATTTTAGCATATAAATGTAAGTTTATTATATTAATTTATTAGTAACTGAAGGCAAAATATATTACCTTTTCCATTTGATGATAGATGGCAATGTTTTGAAAAGTAAAAAGTAAATAGTCGGCGTAGTTTTAAATTATTACACAACGGTTAAAACTAATTTTCAACTTTATTTATAAATATGGTATTTATTTCAAAAAACACCCATCATCCCGCCTATAACTAACAGAATCATATAATATAATAGTAAATGTATATCTAAAGAAAGGAAAATACTTAACCATCTTTTTTTAAGTCCCTTATTCGGATAAAAAATAGCCGATAAGTTTCCCGGGGTTAATAACCATCTACATACAAAATTTCATGGAAATCGGTCCAGTAGTTTTTAGGTGAATCTTGAATACACAGACAGACAAACAGACAAAAATTCTAAAAACCACTAATTTGGCTTCAGTACTCTTTATTTAGTCCCCTGGACTTATTTTTTCAAGAATATATTAAAATTACAGACACGACTTTTCTAAAGATTTATTACATAATTTTTTATGTACATAACCATTTCAAAATGCATCATAATTTTTAAACAATAGATTAAAATCTGTAACGTTGCCTTGTTGACACGAAAGCTCGTCGGAACTTGACTACTTGACTACTTGACTTCTATTGAAAAGCTAAAGAATGGAGTATCAACAACCCGGAACTTAACAACCTTATACTTAGCTTGAAAATTGTGAATACGAAATAAGTAGCTTATTACGGTTATATAGACCAGAAAAGACTAGTCGAGTTATGATTTTATTACGATTGAAGTGTTTTTTCGACTTTTAACTAAATAAATAAATAAAATAATTTATTTTTCTTCACAAAACTTAAATTAATTAGATAGTTGATTGGGGTCTCCATTTAAGTGTGTTTGGAAACCCCGCTCTTCCTTATCTAAACATACATTTTAATTCTATAAGGTTGGCCCCAGAACGCTACCCTGTGGTACGCCATATGATAAAACTCCCGCATCCCCACTAGTGAACCCAGGAAGCTTTAACTTTTGTTTTCTCTCTGACAGGTAGCTTTCGAAAAGAGCAAGCGGGGTCCCTCTTATTCCAACTTTTTCAAGCTTGTGCACAAGCATAGGAAAAAAAAATAATGAAAATACAATATGATAGAGAAGATATTATTAAATGTTTAAATAACAATAAATTATTATGGAAAAATATAACAAATATTACCAAAAATATAAAAAAATATTACAACTGTGTATCACTATTAATATTAACTGCTGACTTTTTTTAATATAACACAATAAGTAAAGATTTTTTTATAGGAGAGGGGGCAAACGAGTATGCGGCTCACTTGATGGTAAGTAACTACCGCCGCCCATGAACAACCGCAACACCAGGGAAATTGATAATGCGTTGCCGGCCTTTTAAAAAGGAGTAGGCTCTTTTCTTGAAGGTCCCTAAGTCGTATCGGTCCGGGAAAATCGCTGGTGGTAATCGATTCCACAAGGAAGTTGTGCGAGGAAGAAAACATCTTCTAAATCGCACAGTGGTGGACCGGCAATCATCCAGGTGGTATGGATGGTATCGCAAGTTTTGTCGCGATGTGCGATGGTGAAATTGAGCGACTGGAATTAGTCCGAATAATTCCTCAGAGCACTCCCCGTTGTAAATGCGATAAAATACATAAAGAGATGCAACATCTCTACGCAGTGCCAGTGTGTCGAGCCGATCAGAAAGAACTCGGTCGTCGACGATTATTATAGGTCAATTCTTGACTATTGCACGTATATTCTTTGGACTTGTACCGTAGTGCCTCGTTGATCTAGTGATCGTAATCGCATGTGGTCCCAGGTCAGGCTAAAATCAGTTGGGTTTTTGACATCAGGAAGTTGACGGTTTTCACCCCCAGTCACATAAAGCCATTGATCCTGCACCTAATATATCTGCAGTCTTATCAGATTGTCACCCCATCGGACTATGGGAGTGAGGGAAAAGACATGTGCTTGCGCTCACAATCGTACAGTATAATCCTGTCCAGGTGGCTAGACACCGTTGAGATTGGCCGCCGTTGCTGAAATATGTCTGGAGGACATTATTACTGCTATCCCACCTGATGTTAAGTAATGAATATGGAAAATGACAAAGCGCACTAATTTACTAAAAGAGCTTAACAAAAGCCTGTACATTCTTGCCTAGAAGACACCCACATTGTCATCAAGAATGCGCTATCAGGCGTGCATTTCTTGGAAGTGTTGCAACTGTGTATCACGTGGGGCGTTCGGATCGGTGAGTGCAAAGCTGATCTCCCAACGCTCGTAAAGCTGGTCCCCATCACCAGGCACTAGCGGAATCCCGAATTCCGCATGTATCGAATTTCCGCCTTTAATCGTTCGTCAGAGCCTCGTACGCCAATCAGAAAGCTGCACGTATAGGTAAGGTTGACATTTGGAAATATAATATTTACATAACCCCTGGTACCTAGCAGCATAATAAATAATAATAATATATACAAATAAATAAAATTGAAGTGTCTGTTTGTAATGTCAAAGTTACAGCGTTTTACTAAATGCATATGAAAGTATAAACGGTACTTATAACAAAAATACATACACTTTTTAACATTTTTGTCTGTGTGTCTGTCTGTCTGTTTGTTCCGGCTAATCTCCGAAACGGCTTTACCGATTTTGACGGGACTTTCACTGGCAGATAACTGATGTCATAAGGATTAACTTAGGCTACTTTTATTTCATAAAAATAATTAGGGTTACTCGTAAAAAATATACAACCCTAAATTACACGCGAGCGAAGTCGCGGAGTACAGCTATTACATAAAACTTCAATATAAAGCTCTGACGCTAGAATCCTACTTTAAAAAGACGTATTATATACAGTTTTATAATAACACGTTTCCTCTCAACAAGTTGTTTTTTCTTTTTTTTATATAAAATCCACTACTCTTATTTTTACTTGCTTACGCACGAATATTTTTTCTTTATTTATAAATAAAAGGGTTTTCGTTAAAACGCTGGTTTTCAGTGAGAGCGTGGTCCTTCCGCGGTCAAGCCGACCCATTCGTGCTACAACTATAGTACTAATATAGCTGCAGCGTGGCTCTACCACGTATAAAAGCTTCTAAAGAAAATATAAAAAAAGGAAACAAAACAAAAGCAACTTCGTTTTTCTTCTTCGCCCACGTTTCTTATTTTTCATTGAAAAATAAACACAAATGTATTTTATATTGATAATTTAAATTAATTATAAGCATTCATATTGACTGAGGTTACGTCAAAGAAGTGAAATTTACCGAAATGTGTCCCAGATTTCATTTTGTTAAAAATTAATTATTAGTAAATTAACAGCTTTATTAACGCATCTCCATTTTGATTCTTAATGGTGGATAGATGTAGATATCTATGGGCCACAGCAGCTATTAACCATCAGGTAGACTGTGTGCTCGTTTGTCACACTAATTCTATATAAAAATCACGTTACCGATGGTGGACTGTGACGGCACTGACGTCCCTGACTGCCGCAGCCGAGATGGAGTTGCGGAGGGAGAGTAGTATTGGTGTGAAGGGGACTCACTCTAAGCTCAGCGACCCTGATGACGCCGCATCGCTTGTAAATTACTATTTGAATCGCTGATTTCTCATGTGTTTGGGGGGGAAGGAAAATATATGATGGATTTTAGGTATCTTGGAGGATATAGATAGGACTATTTCACTATCTGTTTATTACATTAGATTTAACTGTAATTTATTACATTAGATTTAACTGTAATTTATTACATTAGATTTATCTGTAATTTATTACATTAGATTTACCTCGTAAACCCTTAGTTAATTTGCGACAGCGAGATGGAGTAGTGAATTATGACGTCAACATAGCGATTATTATCAGTAGTAGAGAACATCATAAGTACTTACGGAGTGCAGTCTTCTAGCCGCATCGTGTATGGACAGTATGTGTGTAATTTTGTATTTGTCCAGCTGCACGATGTCCTTGGAGTCCCTGTAGTTACCCACGTAAAGGCCGGGTAGCACCTGCACAAAAATATTATTGGTCAACCTTAACCAAGAGAACCCTTTAGAAGAATATATAGGACCGCCGTTTTATCGAAAAATCATTTAGATAGATTATTATTATTGCACACACCAAAACACAAAACATAAAATATTCTTACAGGAAAGTAAAATAAAAATACAAAATGTTAAAATGGAGTACAATGAGCGTTCTTATCGCTAAAAGTAATTTTTTGCAGACAATCTTTTAGAAGTAGTAGGAGTTTATTACTCATTAAAACAGCACACTCGGCTAATTAATGTAGATAAAGCTTAATTTCATATTTATCCTGACATAGATAATAATTATATATTTAGATTTGTTTACTTATTTAAAAATTTGTATTCATCCATGATATACAGGTATTTATGTAGATACTAGCTTTTGCCCGCGACTTCATCCGCGTAGATATTATACTTTAAACCATAGGTTAAACCGTAGGATACATAAATAATCGCACTTTCATAGTAAATTCTAAACGTGGTAGAGCCATGCTGCAGTTATATTAGTAGTATAGTTGTAGCTCGAATGGGTCGGCTCGACCGGGGAAGCACCACGCTCTCACAGAATGCCAGCGTAAAACAGTAGCTTAATTCTGCTGTGTTTCGTATGGTGAGTGTAGAGAACCGGAGACCCTTTTTACTGGAAACGAGGCATTCCACCTTAGTCCTCACGGATGACAACGCACCTGCATTTTGATTCGTAATCGAGGATAGATGTAGATGTCTATGGGCCACAGCAACCACTTACCATCAGGTGGACTGTGAACGGTAAGTGGTTGCTGTAGCCCATAGACATCTACGTCTATCCTCAATAAAGACTCAAGATGCAGATGCGTTGCCACCCGTGAGGACTAGGATGAACTGCCTCTTTTCCAGTAAAATGGGTCTCCGGTTCTCTACACTCACCATACGAAACACAGCAGCATTAAACTGCTATTTTACGCTGGTATTCTGTGAGAGTGTGGTCCTTCCCCGGTCGAGCCGACCCATTCGTGCTACAATTATACTCGTACTATTAATATAGCTGCAGCATGGCTCTACCACGTATAAACTTACTTATTTTTTCGTTTTATTGATGTCAAAATAAATTAGCTAAAGTTCGCGTGAAAAATAATAATACCATGTATTTGTTTATTTTTTGTCTTTAGCGTGGTTAGTAGTTAATCTCTTTCTCCTGGTGATGTGTGATGTACTGTCGATGGTGGCGTGTCTTTCTCAATGTAGTGGTTAAAGGGGTGCTGGGTGTAGTGGGCATTTAGTGGTGGCAGTTATAGTGCAGTCTTCATCATCATCATTACAACCCTTCACAAGTGTATTGCTGAACATAGGTCTCACCCAAAGAATGCCACAAAGCAAAGTCCTGAGCCACCTCCATCCATCGACTGCCTGCATCACTCCATCTAGTGGGGGGGTCGCTCTACACTTCGCCCACCGGTACGAGGCTGCCATTCGAGAGCCTTTCTTCCCCATCGGATGTCGGTTCTTCGAACTATATGGCCGGCCCATTGCCACTTTAGCTTAGTAATCCGTTGGGCTATGTCGGTAACACTGTTTCTACTGCGGATATCCGCATTTCTAATTCTATCACGCAGAGAAACCCTGAGTATAGCCCGCTCCCTAGCTAACACATTGGCCACACAATCTCTAATTGATAATTTATTAAGATGTCTCTTACGATACCACGGAACGACCAGGGATGATTGATTCACGCCGCTCACTTTTACGTCGCCACCACCAACCATACTAATTACTTTCTTTTCTTCTTAAAAATGTATTAAATGCGCAAGAATTCTTACATAAATTGTTTATATATTAAGCTGGTATAAATCATTTTCAAGTTCGTAGCGCGCGCGCTAATTAGTGTGAAGGAAGAGGCAAGTAATCACGCCTTAAGAACCAAGAATAATAATGGATATAAAACCGCTTTTCACGACAAGGGGAGAGTCTACTATATAATATCTGCACGACAATGTAAGATAATTATGTTTTAAAACGCAAGAGCCCTAATTTTAATCTACACAATCGTTCCATTTTGACTTTTTCACATTTCTCACGACCCTTTTGTTAATGTGTTCATTTCGGTTAAAATTCGTCAAGGAATACTTAAATTAAGTGAAATTTATAATTTTAGATAGTTCATTATATTAAAAGTAATATTTTTTAAGGTACAACAATGAAATGCCAATAATGTCCTTCTCAAAATAAAAGAAATTGTTGGTGGTAAATGTAATTTTAATATTGTTATAAAAAGAAACAAATTGCCATTATTGAGCTTACGCACAGATTATCAAAGATATTACGGGCTATCCTGTATTATGGAATATACACACTCTATGAGCCTATTGCAAAAGGTCTTTGTTCTTCATTATTACTATATTTTTTATAGGATAAGGGTGATAAACGAGCACACAGTCCACCTGATGGTAAGAGGTTGCTGTGGCCCATAGACATCTACATCTATTCTCCATTACGAATCAAAATGCAGATGCGTTGTCACCCGTGAGTGAGGACTAAGATGGAATGCCTCGTTTCCAGTACAAAGGTTCCTCGTTCCAGTTCCTCGTTCTCTACACGTACACTACATACGAAACACAGCAGCGTTAAGCTTCTATTTTACAATGGTATTCTGTGAGAGCGTGATCCTTCCCCGGTCGAGCCGACCCAATGGTGCTACAACTATACTACTAATATAGTTGCAGCATGGCTCTGCCACGTAAAATATTATTGATTATAGACTGCATTGTATTAATTTACTATATATATATATATATAACCTTCTTTTTTTGCGGTTGGTCTGTAAGTTCATTTGTAACTTCATTTTTATAAAAAAAATATTTGCTACATTTGCTTAATTTTTTATTCTCACCCAACCATAGGAGATATCTATCTTTTTTCTTGTGGCGCAGTTATTTCGTGTTTAATGCTGACTGAAGTGTGACCGCTCAAGTAAAGTCAATCACGATAAAATCCTTTGATGTCCATAGGTTTACCGACAGTGGAGCGAAAAGTGCCGAAATTAAGAATTTTAATTTTAAATTAAAATATTCAAGTTATTGTTTACTTCGGTCGCAGTTCTGGATCCTTATATAATAAGGAATGTTTTATTTTGCAACACACTTTACTATTTTGTAATTCGGCAGTAAGATATGATTCTTACGTAATAACATTTTCACAACCAAATATTTTTATGGCTGAGCATATTTCATATCAACAACATCCCTGTAAGCTAGGGTTACCACCCGTACTATAATATATAGTATCGTACTGTTGCGCGCCACTATTAATGTCTTATACATGGCAACACTAGTTACCACTAGCGCCCTCTCCCTCGAGTAGCAGAACTAGGATAGACAAGATCCTTCTAGAAATATAGGGACCGATATGTACTCGAACATTCTAGATGTTTCTATAATAGAAGGTTCTGGAAACTGCCTGAGGCCCTACTTAAGGCCGGTATAGACCGCGACCAGACAATATTGAATCGGCAATACAAGCGAATACTTCTAAGCGATACAACTGCGAACTAAAGTGATCAGTAGTACAATTGTGTTTTATTATTAGTGTGGTTTAAGTTGTAATTAGTGCTCTGTAATTGTCGATTTTTGAAAGTGTTGATTTTGGTAATTCACTTGGCAGTTTTTAATTGTCTCGAACCCCAAGCTCGTAACAGTACTATATTTCAGTCAATTGTAGAAAATTAATATAGTACGAAAAATACTATATTTTCATTCCTAATTCAACTGTCGCCTTTTTATATTTTAACTGTGACTGGAAGTCTGGAACGCACACGCAGTGCAGGAGGGAATTTCAGAACGAAACGCGTTCGCGGCAACAAAACTCAACTGTCTAACTGTCAACAATTGTCGATGAATGCCACCCGAATTTTATATTTGTTTATTTTCTACTGTTAAAATAAAAAAAAACATGGATAGTGATGATAGATTTTGCACGCCTACAGAAATAAAGCAAAAAAAAAAAGAAATATGAATTGATAATTTATTTTAAAATAAATCAAAATTGCTCAGCTTCCTATAATTATTTTAAAGGTAATAGATCATTGATGGCCAAAGCGAAGAGTAATAACCGATTAAAAATAAATGCGTACTTTCTCAGAAGTACTATATTTTTTGCATCTTTTTTTTTTGGGGAAAACTACTATATTTGTTCAAAAAAAGTGGTAACCCTACTGTAAGCTATTGATCGTTATAGGCGATATTGTTAAAAATAAAGCAAACATTTTCTCTAGCATTTTCTCTCACTGGCTGGAAGCCATCGTACCATTTTTGTAGGTATAACGTTGTTAGCTACTCTATTTTCGCAACATTATTTATATAGCGGCTGTGTTTCTCGTAAATAACGAGTTAAATTGAGATTAACTAATATTAGCATTAACTGGCAGAATACCCATTTAAAACAGAAATCGATTACGTTCAGATATAACTGAATAGCAATGTATAGTCCCAGAAGTCTCTGTACTTAAGCTATTAAATTGTTTATTACAATTGGTTTATCAATCTGAAAAATTAGAAGAAGTACTACAGTCATGATTACGATCATGAGGTAGAACTACACTCATGATCGTAATCATGACTGTATTTCTACCCACGTTCATTGCGAATATAACTTCTTTGGCAATAAAAGTAATCTTAAGGATTTTATCGTGTTGAATTTTAACTTTTTTAATTCCTGACGTTTCGGACACTTTAAAGAACCCAAGGAGAGTAAGGGGGGGAGGGGCTGAGTTCGTAACACCCAGCCATCTTCTTTATTGAAGTTAGGATAGTTTCTTTTTACTGGGTGAACAGATTTCGATGTCTCTTTTTTTATTTGAAAGCTGGTGCTTCACATGTGATTCCATATAAATTTGATCAAGGTGTTCTATTGCGAGGATTTGTTGTCTATCAGACCCAATATAATGGTTGGGACGATGCTGAACATATTGACATACTTCTGATTTCCAAGAGCGTAGGGTGCTTCAC